TGTACTTAAGTACAGTAACGAAGTACTTGTACTTCGTTACTTCCCACCACTGAATATGAGACACTTTCAGAAAACATGGAGAATATGCATTATCTGTGACGGTGATAAAGTAAGACGACAGGATGACTTTTTTGTCTCTTATCACCATGCTGAGATGAATGTGTGAACAGAGGAATGCTTGACTCCATCCTATGTTACGTTTGGTAAGATGTAGCCTTGAAATGTTCCCTTTGATGTGATCAAGCTCCTTTTAAGCTCCCATTTATTCTTCTATTAATGTAGGAGTCAAATGTAATTCACAAATAATAACTCTGGCAGAGTAACAGCCTTTCTTGAAATTTTGCGAAATTGGAAAAAAAAAAAAAAAAAAAAAAACGTATTCGTCACCAAAGTGAAGTCTCAAAAAGCACAAACAATCCTGTTCCTGTCCATTACCTGGTGATAAAGCTCAGCTGGTAATATGAGCTCTGGTCATATGCATCTAGTTTTCAGGGTTTTTTTGTGTTTTGTAAGGACATATTTTGTGGCACTACTACTTCAGTCACAGTATTTCAGACAGGAGATGGGTAGAGAGAGAAGATACTGAATTTGATTACTCTCCAAAATCCAAAATCTAAAATATTGGCATTGATCAAACTGGGACTATATCATTCAACCAATATAAAAGTTCTGTATCACACACTTTGTGTTTTGAAACTCAAGATAACTTGAGCCTTGCTTGATTCCATGACAAAAGAATCAGATTCCTTTATGAACGCAGGTTTCCTGCATGATGCAGATCACAGCTGAGGATCATAGAAGGCTCCCTTCTGTGTTTAGATGATGTCATGTTCTTCATTTTTGGAGAAAAAGTAAGATTTTTCAAAACAAATCAAACTGAAATTCTTTGTTTTTTCCTGAAATATTGCTATAATCTGAACCCAGAACCATGTTCCATCTCGTCTCATCCCTGAAACAATAGCTGAGACTTTCAGAATAAGAGTAGCTGCAATTCCATTATGAATGTGCGCAAAACTTTGTCCGTATTATGGTACTATCAAGCAAACACAATTTTGCAATTGCTGTTTTCATAAAAGATAAATTTGATAAGTCATTTAAAAAAGATGCTGCGACACGTTCCTCCCTCTACTTCCTGTCGTTTTCTTCTTCGTGGTTTGCGCCGCTGGCAACATCCGGTTGTTGAACACGTGACTCAAAGGGTGAGGAAAAAAAGCGTTTCCACTGCAGTTCTGAGAAATAAACCAATTTTGATACGACCAAAAAACCATCTCACCCTATGGCACCAAAATATTTAATCAAAAAACAGCTTTTGGTATTTAAATTGACGTGTTTCCGTTTAGCAAATTTATTTTTGAAATATCAAATTGCACTATTATATGGTCGGTGGAAACACAGCTGCGGGCTGCTTTCCTCTCCTCCTTCTCCTCATTGATCAGTTACAGAAATGTTGAAATTACTGAGTTCTTCACCACAAAGGGAAAAGTTTTCATGCTGTAAAAACAGGACAGATTTTTGTCAGGCCATAAAAAACATTTATGATTTATATGATCCTTGGTGTATAACGCATCACTGAATGATAATGTGCCTGAAAGGCATTTTGTGTTGAATCCAGCGGTGTGATGACGGCCATGTTGTGAGAACACCAACAGCTCAATTGGGTGAAAGATTTTGAAAGGATATTTTCAGTCACTTTGACCCACTGCTGCTATGTGTTGCTCAGGCAGTGTGTGCCTGGCATGTTTTCAGATTGGTCATAACAACATACTTCTTAGATAAAAAAGAAAAAATAGAATCACTTCCTGACTGGTTTTCGTCAAAACTCTCTGACAGTGTTTGTCTTCTGATAGGAAGAGGAGCGTTCTGATCAAGCAGTTTTTCCTTCAGTTTGGACCAGATAGTAAAAGCCAGTTGAGCTGATTTTTTTCTCAACATAAACTGAATTAGGTTGATCAGCATTAAACCCCCAACGCCGCCTGATCAAGTTCGACTCAATCAGTCATTCTCAGCCTGTGGTGTCGAAAACCAATACTCCCACTCGAAGATGTCAGAGGTTACCTGATAGCCCTCCTCCATATTGAATTATCGTTTTTACTTACTGGAAGCAGAGAAAAAAAATCAAATGCTGTGAACAAAGAAGATGTGTGAAAATCCTTATCTGGCAGGTTTTGTGTGTCATTGTATTTGCACTTACTTGACACTTACTTATCGATGAGCTGAGTTCTGGTTTTGTGACTTCTAAACACACAGGACTCTGTTCATAATCTGTCAGGACTGAGTAAAGTATCCAATTTAAATGTCATTAGAGGTTGACTAAGATCCCTCACCAGGTCACCTTGAACATGGGGTTTGTCCTGCAAAGCACCATGGGACTGGACTGGTGCTGCACCGTCTGGAGCTGAAGTCCAGGCTAACAGTGACACCTGACATCTGCCTCTTATCTCCCCACACAGATCTGAGAAAAAACTTTGAGCAGGACCCCCAGGGGAAGGAGGTGCCCATCAACGGGATGATCGTTCTGCACTGTCGCCCTCCAGAGGGAGTGCCAGCAGCAGAGGTGAGGCGTTCCCTCCGTGGATCCGCCTGAAGCTGGAGAAGTTTGTGCTCCTCCAGCTTCCAGGAAAGATCTGGAGATGACTCTGTAGCACTTTGACGGGGAATTCAACATCCTGCACCGGTTTCCCTTCATGTTATTTTTCACCGATAAGTTGAGAATCATTTAAAAAAAGAGGGATCTTTCAGAATATTGGATCCTGTTAATTCAAAGGGAAAAAAAAACACAAAAACACCTAAAATCAGAAGTTTGATGATATATCAAAATTCAACAAAAGTATCAATATCGGTATTGGCGATACAAGCCCTGTATTTACTTGCAGTATTACACATCTCCACCAGTTAGAATGCTCCTTTTAAGAAAATGTTCATTTTCCAAAAGATTCTTCTTTTTCTAGAATCAGATCTTCATAGTTCATAGAAATAAATACTTCCTACTTTAGCTACCAGACGTATTTGAAAAGGAAAGCAGTGATGTGAATTACAGTATATCGTCTGTGACTCCTGTCCTGTAAGTAAAGATGCCCAGAGCAACGGGAGCGTTCCAGCAAACCCTCCCTAAATAGAACCAGTGGAAACCGCATGGCACAAACTGATTCCACTGTGAGTGACTGGAGACTCATTAGCTCCTCTTTACACCACTGCTGACAAGGATTATTTCCAAACAGTGGATGTGCTGCCCCCCCCCACACACACACACCCAAACCGCAGGCTCACATTCTATTGTGTGTGCACTTTCATGTTGCAGCAGCAGCCGCACCGCAGCTGAAACCTCACACCGGCTGCGCTCATGGCTGCCATCTCAATATTTCATGGAGGAGGTGCGCTGAAATGGACGGGGCCGGGGAGCGCTGGCTCACGCTCTTTCCATTATTCACTGCCGTCTCCTGTGACCGCTCTCATTTGTGTTGACAAAGGACTAGATGGGAGATAGTGATTCCTTCAGTTCGGCTCACACTCAACTATTTTTACCACCTCTGCGGGGACGCGCTGCGGCTGGAATGACATCAATCCTCCATTTTTCCATGCTGGATCATTCATATACTGCGAGGGAACCGGTCGAGGCCGAGTCTCTTCCTAAATCTTCGTCCTGCGCACGTGTGTTTCTCACGCCGATTCAAACCAGAACAAAACGCCTCCTGGAGGAAGCCTTTAAGTTTCCTCAAAACATCAAACAAATTGTAAATGTTTGCGCTACAGAAAGGAGAGACAGTCACAGGAAAACGAAGGGAGCTCTGCCAGCAGCAGGCTCTTATTTTGTTGCATCAACCAACCATTAGCTGCATTTCCACTGCAAATGTGTGCAAAACTTTTTCAATTTTCTGCTAGTGTCAAAAAAAAACATAATCTTGCAAATAACAAGTGCAATTAAAATCACATAAGCTAAGCCCTAAACCTTATATTAGATTTTTTTTTTAATATTTCTTTAGCAGGTTGCAGAGAAGACTGTCACTTTTTAGCCTTCATCAGTCTTATGATGTAACTGTGGTTATAAATGTGACTCTTACTTACTTTATGACAGAAAATCTACCATTAAGACAAACTTTTTCAATCTGTCTTTAGTTTTAGAACTACCATCATTTGACCCTGAAACAATGGAAGATTCTCAGCTCTGAATGAATGTGGCCTTTATGTTGATGCGTTTATGTAACCTTTTGTTTGGCATTTTACAGTAAAGACCAATTCTGCTGATCTGCTGCTCTTGCTTAAAGTTTAGCTCTTAAATATGGCCGCCTTCGTATAAAACAAAAAAACAAAAGAATACATATACCAGAAGAAACAGTGTTTCTATTCATGCTGACAAGTTTTGTGAACCAGCATTTCAGTATGTGAACCATAAGGACTCCCAGATGGTACAGAATGCAAAGACAGCTAGAGAGAGGGAGTGAAAGAGAGAGAGAGAGAGAGAGAGAGAGAGAGAGAGAGAGGCACAACAACGTTCAGCAAAACTGTAGAAAAGTCAGCACTGTGCTTGAAGAATCTTTTCTCGTCGTAGAAAACACCTTTTATGGAGAACCTGCAAAACAATCATGTTCACCCAGGCGTCAGTATTCCACAAATCAGAGGATATTTTTCACATTTCGCATTCGTCCAGTGGTTGTGGACACAAACACAACCATGACTTCAGAAGCGATGAACTGATCTTTACAGGTCAAGTGGCTCTGAAACTTGCTTGACAGAAACGATTCCAGTTTTGTAACAGCAGCTTTTTGTTCAAACATTACTTCAGGTTTTTATTGTTTATAGTCACTTTCACCTGTCTTTCAAACAGAAAAGTTGTCTTCAGCACTTTTATTTATTTATGGATTTACCCGAGGCACCGCTTCATTCAGCTGAATTTAAGGTTCGGGGAAAGAAACACTTTTCAACGTTTTTTTGCTTCCTAAGTGTCATTTTCTAACTCTGCTCTCAGGTTTGCATAAAATGTTTTATTGAGGATCCAGAAGTTTCAGTGTGATGAATAATAATGTCTGCTGGGATTGGTGATTTAAGCACAAGTGTAAAAGGATATTAGGTGTGTACAGCACTGTTCAGTGCACTCATAGTCTGCTTTAAGCTTCTGAAAAGTAGTAACAAAAATTAATATTAGGACATGCTAAGTTCATGTCTGAATGACGGTGATAATCGCTTCTTACTCACCCAATCATGATGAAAATGTTAATGTGCCGTTGAGACCCAAACGTTTAGCTGACTGATTCCTTTTGTTTTTCATTAGGAATTTAAACCTGTTTGTCCTCAGGCCTAATTTAATATCTAATTATTATCTTTTAACTTTCAACTCTTGACATAAGTTCCAAACTTTTATAGAATCCATTTATTTGTTTTCAGAATAGAAAAAGGGTAATTCATGCCAAAAAAATATACATGTACATCAACATTAAAAGAAAAATAATACAGACAGATGTAGACTTGGGGAAAAAAATGACTTTATTTTGTTCATGTCAGGTCTGGAGTCTTTATGACACGAGTCTGGATGTACTGAAAGACAGAATCTGGATCCTCGATCGCAAACGAATGACAGATATTTCAAAAATAATTTTAGAGTGAGTAACGCATAGAAAACCAAACAGTATTCCCCAGTTATTCTCTTCCACCAGATCAGTCAGATCCAGTGTTTTCAAGTTAGTGTGACTCATTCTACTAACCAGAGAGCATCTCTTAGGAAACGACACCTTCATTTCTAAATGTTTATTATGGCTCATTTCTAAAGTCGACATACTAGCCTCATAACGCATGGTGGTGGGAGTGTTAGAGTTGCTTAAACTCTCAGACTAATATGAAAATAAATTCAACTTTTCAATTCTAAATGGCAATGTTGTGGTAAGAAATAAAGCCACTGTCAATTCAAGTTATTTCATAGTTTACATTTGTTAGAACTTAGTTTAAGTTTAAGCTGTTTGCGGTTGTTGATGAGATATGATTTATTAGCATTTGCTGTGGTTTTTTTTACACCATTTCATAGTTATTTGAAGTGGTGTAAAAAATGTTTCCAGCTTGACTGAACATGAAGTTTTGGAGGAAAAAGAAAAATCCCAGAACAGTTACATGAGGATTCTTAAACATATTAGTTTTAATGCTTTTCAAATGGAATGCACAAAACTTTCTGGTTTCAGACGATGTGCTGACATAGTTACTACATTTATAAGCCAAATGTAGAGGTGGCGTTTGCTTGACGTCACTTCTTCCTTCCAGAGTAAACGGCTAAAGCGACATAGCAGCTCCACCAGCTGCACTTATTCACCAGAAGCCATTTTCCATCACGTTTGCACAGATGCCTAACCACATGTAGCTTGTAAAATTTGCTGGGCCACATGTTCATAAAGTTAGGTCCCAACTACTATTATCTTTCCCATCAATAATAATCCTTATTGGGTATTATCATCAATTTCCACATTAGCCACATGGCTGCGGCGGTTCTGTTGGGTCTGGAAGCCGTCATCGCACCATATGCTTTGTTTAAGACTAAATTAGTTTATGTAGCTCAGTTTCTAATGGAATTATTCATGATGCTGTTATGAATTCGTTTGACAGTAATAACACTTGATCACACTTTAATGACATATCCAATATGTTCAGCATTGAGTCCTCGAGCCTGAGTGAAATATTCATGGCACAGTGTTTCATGACAGCTAATGTCAAAATCAGCAACATGACAGGGTGATGTATGGTTAGTGCATACGGCCTGATCCTGAGCTCCTTCGTGATTGCACTCGTTATTTCTGGTAGAAGATTTATTCTGCTGGCAGATTAAATGCTCTTTGTTTAGTTTGTTTTATTTTAATCACATTATAACAAAAGAAATCAACTTTGAAAACAAACAGGTCATGAAGGTCTCATGTCAGTCTTAATGGACACGTTTTTGATTCAATATTTCAGATGCAATCATAATAGAGTCAATGTTAAGTTATGTTTGTTTTATTTTATTTTATTTACCTTTGTGTTAAGTCTGATTTTAGGGTCTAAAGTTTTATTTGACTAGTTGGGGATTATGAAGGTAAATAAACTTTTAGCTCATATTCATATTGGTATGTTTTGAATAAAGAAAAAATGTAATAAATATCCAAGAAGTCATAGAAGTAAATTAAAAAAGAGAAAAAATATCCTCCCAATGAACAATAGTCTTTTTCTGAATGAATTTTGATAAGAAATGTCACAATTGCATAAGCAGAGGTACAAAAGTTGTCCCCAGTAGAAAATCAGTGGGAAATAATAAAATAAAAGTTGTAATAACATCTCTTTATAAATTTTGACATTAATGGAAAACGTTCCATAATTTTCGATATATTAATATCCATCACCTTTTGAAAGAAACAAAAACAAGGATCTGTCCCATGGAAAGATGTACCATCCAAAATATAACTTATTTTCTTAGTTGTCTGTTTTGTGTAATTTGTAATTATTGAAGTATTATTACAAAACTATTTTACCACAAAAGAGTATTGAGCATTTTAAAGCCTCCACTTACCCCCCGCCCCCAAGTTTATTTATGCTTTAAATGAGTTA